ACAAAATGACACTGAAATTCAGACCACTACAAAACCTTAAGAAAACTGCAACTAGGGAAAAAACAATACAAATGCCCACAAAAAAAGGCCTCACAAAAAGAATAATAATTAGAAATGGAGACTTCGATGAACCACACCGGAGAAATATAGACCTAAGATCATTTGAAATTAGCACTTATATGATGGATCATCATATACCAGAGTAAAGCCAAATTGTTACATTATTGGACACTTAAATAACTAGGATGCACCCAAATGGGAAGCAGTAACATTATGGTTGTACTTTTATCACAAACTTAATGAAACTGGATGCCTTCAACCAGACAGAGTCATTACAGTTAAAAGGTAAACAAACACTCAAGACGGGAAAAAAAAAAAGAGCCAAGATCATTAACAGACCTAACAAAAACCCATTTTCTGACTTATAAGAGCTGAACAAAGTTCAAATAGAGGCTTCTAAATTCCAGCTATTTTTTGGAAAACCATTTTTGTTCTCTATGAATAAAGAGGAGAGAGAGAGAGAGAGATGTGAAGGCAGTACAAAGTATGGTATGCATGTATCAAAGAGACTCCCAAAAGACAGTCATCATTTCCTAAAGGATTTCTGATGTCTCTATGTCTATCCTTCACATCACACGCATATCAATACTCACAACAAATTGATTTTAAGAGACAACAGACTTTATTAGAGGAAAACAATGCATCAAAGAGATTCCCAAAGACAAATCATTATTCCCCATGGGATTTCTGATGTCCCTGTATATCTTCAGATTATATGCATGATACAGAGCTTACTGTTGCAAGTCATTGTTGACATACTTATGTCCCTCACACGAATAAGGAGACAACTCGATCCTGCAAAGTTGTACTGCAAAATAAGCCCCAAACTAGACAACTTGAGAAGAATACTATCATGTCAAGAAAAGAACTTACAACTATAGCCCTGTAGTAGTGGCTTCAGAACAGTACCAGACCACCGCCGTTGCATTCAAAATATCGAAAAACCCCCGAGGACCAAATTTGGGCTCAATCGGACCACCCATGAGGTCCTGTGCCCAAATGCCTCAAAACGGGTAGGTTATACACTATCGCGGTGTAGCTTCACTGAACCAATCCCCAATCATGGAGGCTGCGACTTCACATCTCGGGATGGACTTCAAAGAGCCACAGAACCTTCACCTGGAATCAGAACAAACTCAAACTTGGACATGTTCTAGATCACGGCGACCCCGTCATTTTGACCTAGGGAATGCACCATGGCTTGACCCATAGTCAAACCTTTTCTAGAAAGAAGATGAGCATGAAACCAGGAAAATCAAGGTTTCAAGAAGAAGACATCTCGAACCTCGTGAAGCACAACTCAAGATCTGCGCATCAGATCATCGCGAACCCTAGTTCAATGCGACCATCTCGCGAGGAGCTGCAAACTGGTATAACTATTGTACTAAATCTAAGGTCAGATAAGCACAAACCCCAAGGTTACAAAAAAAGCAAGTCCGCTCGGTCGCCGGAATCCCTTTTCCGGTGACCTCCCAAATTAGGAAATGTTGCAATTGAAGACCAAAACAGACCAAACTTGGTGCAAAACGACTGTGACAGTCTCCTCTTTGATATGCAAACAAAATAAAGACTCAGAACTTCACAGGTCAAATAGCATTAGCAACCAAAGTTCAAGAATCTAGCCGGACTTCCACCCTGTGGGAAAAGGTTGCCTCAGCATGATTAAAGGGCATCAAAATGCTCAGAATCAAATGAACATTGAAGATATAATGTCAAATCGTCTGAACCATCGCTACAAGTTTCTGGAAAAGCTTCCAAGATCTAGCAATGGTGGGAGGCCCCTTAGAGATGGATGGTTTCGTCATTAGCACAAAAGGTTTTAGGGGCGTTTTGGTCATTGTACCTAATTTCAAGATTTTGTTCTAAATTCTTTTAATGCTAATTAAGCTTAGTTTTTGAGCATTCACCGATGTTTAGTGAGTTCTCTATATAAACAAACTTAAGTCAATTGTAAAAAGGCGGATTATTCATCACTCAAACAGAGGCATCACACTTATTTTCACTTGACTTTTGCTTCTAAATCCTTAATCTCGTCGAGAGGAGAGAGAAAACTTTCAGAGAGAGAAAATACCCCAAAGTGCACGGTCTCATTCCCTCTCTTTCCTAAACCAGGCTACACCCCAAGCCCTCTCTCTCTCCTCCTCTACTCGTTACCTGCCCCGTGCAGTAACCCCCATCTACGACAAATGCGCGGTCACGAGCGAACCCAAGAGCTCTAACCCTCGGGCCATCACTCTAACTTCCTCTCGTACAGTCGAGTGGAGCCAAGAGGCGCATACGCTCTCTCCCTCGGTCACTTGGGAGGAGTCCGCCTGAGCTGGTAGGTAAGAGGGGTCTAACTCTTCAGTAACCTCAAGTACTCGGACACCCAACGTTCGCGTAGAGAGGAAGACCTTCACCGCCCTTCCTCCGCCCTCTATTCTTTTTGCCAGTCAGCCTCGTTGAGAGAATCGTCACAAAGCGGGACAATCGAACCCACATCGCGATTGCAAGCATGAGAGAGAGAGAAGAGACTTGTTGAAAGCTTGATGAGAGTCTGTGTCCAAACCGCGCTGACAGACAGCCGGTGGGCTTCATTGTTGCTTTAAGAGGTCAAACCACCCCGTTGTGTCCCCCGAACCCCAAGTGGCGAGGTAAGCATCTGAACGTATCCCCGCCGCAAAATCTCTCTCGTTGTTGGTTCCTATCCGCACTCAAGAGAGCTCGTGTACGCGCACCCACGTACATGCAACACGCGCGGACCCTTTGCGATTGTTTGAGAGAGGATTTTCTACCTCGTGCGCACCTCCCATCCGCGCAAGGACCGACAGGAAAATAGGCCCTGACCACTTACTAGCCAAAACTCTTACAACAATAATCACAAAAACAAGATCCCCCAAAATCGCTAAGAACCCAAAATTAGAAGCAAGCAAAATAAGTAAATACCATTAAAAGGTCGAAACTAGAAAAAGTAGAGACCAAGAAAGCAAGAAAATCAAAATTAGGCTCAGAGAGAGTTTCAAAGAAAACATTCTCCCTAGTTCTTCAGGTAGAACTTGCATATGCCTAATCCCCAGCCCCAATCACGAAAAAGAGTAATTTACTTCAGGAGCGTGGAAAAATAAGGAATGAGAACCAAAGTGAAATGATGGTTTTACCCCACTTTGCTATGAATTCCCAAGTTTGAACAAGGAGGGTGGTGGTTGTCATTGCTCTCAAATCATTTGGCCTAGGCAAAATGATGCAAATCCCCTACTCGTTCCATTTTTTGAACCTTAACAAAATATTTTAACATGGAAAACATGTTAAGGATTCAAAAGCCTGAACAACCACACCGTTTGTTTCAGGCTACTTAAGTAGAGACCTTTTACGAAAATGCCCCAACTAATTTAGGCTTCCAAAACTAAACAGGGCAACTTGGGCACTTTTTAACAAATATTTTGAGGAGGTACCTGAGTGAAATGAAACAAAGTTACTATTCTGATGTTAAATATCATGATTTGACCACTTTTATGAATTTGTAAGGTGGTTTGACCACTATATTTTTTGTATTATTATCTTATATTATACATGTATGTGTGCATTATAAAATGGGGTTAAAATTCTAAATTATGTAAAGACTCACTTTTTAATATTATATACATATGTACCAAAAAATTCTTTAGCGATAGAATCCCATAAAACAAGATCATTGAGGTCACAGGACCATGAGAAGAAAGGGAATTGATATTTGTTCTGAATCCACTATAGTCTTTCGATGGTGTTCATGAAACCTTGAGATTGATCTCCCATCTTCTATAATTATTAAACGCACTACTATAGTTATGCTATAGTAAGTTATTGACTGTAACCATCTTGATAATTGGCAATTCATCTCAAATATCAATTATCAAAAGAAGAAAAAAAAAATATCATCCAACCATATATCTAATGAATATGGATCACAATCCCAAGTTAAGTGGGATGGAGAACCATGCTGAATAGGATCGAGATCCCAAAGAGGTTTAGCTCTGGGAACATGGAACCTTGTTTTGCGGAGCAGGAGTATCCCCTGGGGAAGAAGCTCCTCGTAACTATGCTTTGACTAAAACTTCAGGTCAAACGAATCATGTAATGTTGACCTACAACTGTCAAGGATGCTAAGTTTTATAACAACCTAGACCTAGGAAAAAAGGATGCAGTAATCAGGAAAGGGCTATTGAGATCCACAAAGGGCTATTGAGATCCACAAGAAGACTGTACAACTATCTATGGTACAAGGAGGTTCGAAAGGCTAGCATATTCAGGGCAGGTGACATTAGGCAAGTATCCATGGGCACGATGAGCTCAAAAATGATAAAAGGAATCAACAGGTGCTCATAGAGAAAGAGACATGGTAAAGAGACAATCTAATGTAAGGATGACTTATTCGGTTTTAGTTCCAATCGTCAGAACCTAGTTTGTGTGAGGGAGGTCAAGTGTCTGAATCCTTGAAGTTTGTCCCAAAAACCAAACTGACTTATTGCACTGTTTTCTTTTTTACTGTGTTGAGCAGGTTAAGGAGTTCACAGAAACATCCACCATTAATCATCATGAAATAATAATGCTGCAGCAGCTGCACTAAAGAACACTTCAAAGGTGAATCCATAAGGATAAAAACAAGTTCAACCATCCAGAGCAAAAAGAGAACGAAAACAATGTAGCAAATTAAAAATTCTGTACATATATAACTATATACACCATAAGGATAAAAACAACATGCTACCCTGGATACAATAAGAAACGAGAGAGATTTAGTACAAACCAAATCTAGCATGTAAGGGATAATCTAACTGTCCCACACCAAAGCTTTGGAAAAAAAAGAAAAAAGAAAAAAGAAAGAAAAAGTCAAGCTCCACTTCAGTCCTAAGCAAAACATACGCTACTTCGCATCTGAAGAGTACAATAAAACAGAACGACCAGAAATTACTCTAAAAGTATACTTTATCTTGAAATGGCTCAGGAATACGATAGTTGTGACTATGTATTTGTTCACCCGGCCACCTTTCAACACCTACGCAAAACAAAACTAGCAATTACAATTTTAAGTCATAAATTACAAGGATTATTTCTTCGATAGAATTTCAGTTGTACATGACATGGAAAATATTGTTTCATAAAGTACATAATTGCTGCAAGAATGATTACAAGTTTGATCGAAGAAAGTGTATACATTATCCAGCTTTCACCATGAGTCCAAGTGTAAATAGTATTATTAAAGCAAGGGTCACATGAAAAATAGAGGATATTAAATTAACATGGAAAGTAAAACACAGTTGTTAATGCGCAGATGATACAACTCAAAAAAAAGCCATGCAAAAATATAAACAGTTTTTCAAATTGAGTACTGGTGATCTAATTTGGTAATCCATTACATTTTTATTCAAGGCCATCGATACACAAAGTGCTAAAAGTGCAACGATAATACATAGAAAAATGCTTCCATTTGTGTGTGTGTAATAGAGAGCGAGAGAGACTTCCAACCCAACGAGCCCCTATGCTCCCCTTCCTGAAACCCCCCAAAATCGTTTCTACTCTGTCGGAAGAGCTGAAGGCATTTCCTGGACTAAAGGACCATGAGGACACCCTTTTCATACTTTGGGAAAATCTGTTCAAGCTGTGGGGGTTTCATCAAGGTTAACTGGAGCTCACTTGCATCCCACCCTCTTGGATCAATCCAAATCCTCCTTGAAAGCTCCTACCCAGCCTTGATCCCTGAGCTTATTCACCTTCACACAGCAAATTCACTTTCCTAGTCCATATTGGCCCTGAACTGAAACTCTCCCCTAGATGAAGGCCGGGTACCAAAGCCGACAGTTTAAAAGTGAGGAGAAACAGCCAGCAGTCAGGGCCAGGACCACAATGTTTGGGAGACGGGAATCAAGAGAGCAGCTAAAAAGTGGAGAGGCCATCAAGGACCAATTGATGGTCAGAGATGTGCCAAATCAGTGGCTGACATAGATAGGATATGGACCCGAATCAAGAACCAACAGCAAAAAGCTGCCATGTGGATGATGCTTCTCTATTGTTAGTCAATGTTTAAACCCAATGCTATAGAAACCCATCATACAACACCACATGGATGATGCTACTCTATTGTTAGTCAATCTTTAAACCCAATGCTATTGGGAACCCATTGTACAATGTTTAAACCCAATTTAAATGAGATGATGCTATATAAAACCCATTATACAACACCACGTGGATGATGCTACATGGAACCAATGTACAAACATAATTTAGAAAAATAGTTTTAGCTAAGACAAATATAGATTTAAATAGATTAAAAAATTGAGCTCAAAATAAAAAATAGCTCTCAGAAGATATTTTTAATATAAATAAATATATTCCAATAAGATTTTTTTTTTTGATAAAAGTTAACATTGTATATTTTCAAATAAGATTAAAAATCCTGCTTATTTATTTGCATATTTTGGTATCATATTGAATGGATGGAAGAGCTTAATTTAATAAGAAATGCATTAGATGGGTTTTGGTGTCATATTGCATGGATGAAAGGAACCTTATTTAAAACAGGCAGTTTCCAGCTTTCCCAATGCCAAACAGGTGAAAATACCAGCACCACAGTTTATCAAACAGGGTTCTCAGCTTTCAGACTACCAATTTCACCTGCCTCCCAAAATCCAGGAAAGTCGGCAACAGGGATTTTCCTAGGGAAACTGCAGTAAAAATTATCAAACGGCACCATATTGTATTTATAGCACCTGTAAGTAGTATTTCCAGCAATTAATAAAGAAAGGAAAGAAATTTTTTGAATTTATAGCCTGGAATTCTACATAGCCACCTTTCAATATAAACCATTCATACTGAGCTTTTTGTGCTCCTTGCCTTCTGCTTACTGTGTAGATAGAGATCCATCTCTAGAGTTTTATTGCGGCCAAACCTTAGTCCATGAAGTTGGTCATGGCAGTTTTGAATTGATTGATAGACCACCTTGATGAAGTTAAGGTGCTCATAGTCGAGCAGGCTTTTGGCCTAACTGCAATACATCTGATTTGCAGGAGATAGGCTTATGGTTCAAACATGCTTCAGAGAAGCCAAGTTGCACAAACAAAGAAAAGTGACGACCACCTAGATGTGAATTTGACTGGATTCTTCATGTGTTATGAGGCGTCAAGCCCACACCACACAGAACTCTTTAAATTTCATGAAGCAATCCTGATTTTCCTCGCAAACCCAGTTTTTTTCTCCATTAACCTAGCTACATCAAAGTCTCCATGCATACACCAGAGGAGCTACTTTTTTTTTTTCTTCTTTATTTTTAATAGTTTTCTGATGGTATACACCAAGGGATCTTGTCATGGGTAGCAATAGGAAGTTCAGATACCAACGAGTTCTATGTCTAATATGAGCAACATGAGAAAGCAAGGAAAGCATTAAGATTTCGATTCTCAAACGCCTCAAGAGCCCTTCTTGGATTAACAATCTACCAAAAGCATAGTTTGAAGCAGTGTTTCAAAAATCGCCGATCTGATCCGGAATCGGGCGATCCGTATTGGGTATCGGTTATAACCGATCCAAACGCAGTATCGATAAAACCGGGCGGTTCCTACATTTTTATTTTTCAATCCGGTTTTCTTTTCAATCCGGTTTTCTTTTTATGCACCCACCCTGGTTTTTTCGAAATGTGATTTATGCCAACTGGCACTCCACTTTACTCCCCCACACGTGATTGACCTTACTCCCCCCACGTGATTGACAATTTTCTGCCACCTTACTCCCCCCACGTGATTGCCAGCTTCCCCCCACGTGATTGCTAGCTTAAAGCTTAAAAGATCTTTAAAGCTCTACGTACAATACGCACGCTTCACATGGCCAAGACAACATTCAACAAACCAGCTCCTTGGGGTTTTTTATAGTATTCAATTCTCACATCGCTTCGATGTGGGATATATTTGTGAGTTGAATACAAAAGGAAATACAATACCACAAGGAACTCAAGGTGGCATATGGCTGAATAAAATCCCGAAGTTCCCTGAATATTTTGGCATTTTCCATGCAAGATCATTTATGATCTTTAGTTCGCTTGTACAGTAATATAGTGTAAAACAACGAGGACTGCCTGAAGAATTTTAGACACAGAAAGGAAACTGCCATGAAAATGAAGAATAGCAGATAAAAAAATCATGGATCAACTGCCATGGCTACATTTCTTCAGTACCCTTGAAAATTCAGCAACTAGCAAATATAAAATAATGATTTATATTGTGAAAAACTGATAAACAATGGAATTAAGAGAAATCAGAGGAAAAATCTCAGAAATCGCTCAAGCCCCAACGACTTTCATTTTGGAAATGTCTAGAGCCGCAAATTCCATGAAACCCTAGAAACCATAAAAAATGATCGAAAACATCAACAATTGCTGCAAACCCCTCAACGTTTCAGCGAAATTGAAAAGCTAATCAATTTTAAAAACTTCGAAACCTTATGGTGTCTCAAGAAATCCCAAAAAACCAAGAATACCAATGATCCAGAGCAATACCCAAAAACCCTAAAAGTTTTCAGAAAAAATGGCCAAAATTCCCCAAGCATGTCCATAATAATCTGGAGAAAACCAAATAGAAATGCTTATAACCCACTTTTTCTCTAACCATGCAAAGCTGTAACAAGAACCCACCATGAAAAAACCCAAAAACTGAAAAACAAAGTACTAAGAAACAAAGAAAAATGAGAAACAGAAATACCTTTTGGATCTTTATTGGCAGTCCATGATTCACCATTAAGAAGCCAAGAAGGTGGGTTAATCCCCTTGAGATACAAAGAGGAGGCCATAGCTTGAGTGAACAGTTTCTACTGCTGCTCAAGCTGAGATAGTAGCCATTTTTCCCTCTCAAAGATCTGATACAACAACAACTCAACATTCGCCATCTCTGCATCAAATTAGCCCCAAAAATGGCCTTCAAAAATCTCCTCTCTCACTTTCACTCCCCTTTTTATCGCTTCCTTTTTTAAGCCATGAATTTAAGTTAGAACCAAACCTTTGCTGAGGAGAGAACCAAGTGAGAGAATTTCGAACTTTTAAAACAGATATATGAAAGGATCACTGCATTGAACTTTTAACACCAAATCTTTTATTTTATTTATTAATTTTGGTATTATAAATCATGTAGTGTACTATTTTTCTTACAGTTGTCAATAATACATTTTAAATTAGATGATATTATAAAATATTTTGGATT